CGCAGGGGGCCCGTGAGCAACTGGATGGCGCGGGCCAACGAAGACCAATCCAGTTTGCTGTGCAAACGTACCTGCAGAAGTGATTTAAGGTCCTTTTGGTCCCCTCCCTGAACCGCCGTTGCTTCTTCTGTGCCCCTGTTAAAGTAGCTAAAGGGAAGCCAAGTGACCTGCCAGCCGAAACTATTACAGCACTTTGATGAGTACCCTCCTTCGGGAGTTCAAGTGTGATCACCCCATCTTGGGGGAACCTCGGGTGTACCCATCGTGTGACCCCGGGCCGGTTCGCCGGAAAATTTGACCTCAGCGTTCTTATCATAGTCCAGCGGAATTTCACGTTTAAGCAGGAACGAGGTTTCACTAAAGGGAAGACAGCCACCTCTTCATAGTTACGTCTCACCTTTTCTCGCCTTCGTCTTCCGCGTGTCCGTCTTCTGGTTCTTCGCCCGTCTAGGGATGGCTTCTCCTTCCTCCCGTTCTCTTCTTGCTGCCTTTCGTGACCCGCGCGTTCGTCCCCCTCCTCTTCGCCCGCTTAGGGATGGCCTTGTTGTCCTCGCGTCGTTCACCTTTCTCCTCGTCTTCGTCTTCTTGTCCGTCTACCTGTTCCTACTCCTCGTGTCCGTCCTCTTGGCCCCCGTGTGGGATTCGATGTCTTCCTTCTCGAGCCTTGGTCTTCATCCTCTGTGCCTGTCTGGGCGGGATGCGTCGCCCTAAAAACGCATACTACACCCCTCTTCCTCTTCCTTCCTCCCTCTTCCTTCTTTTCTCCTTTTGTTTCCTTGTCTTCTTCTTCTCCTCTCTTTGCTTTTCTTTTCTTTTCCTTCTCGCCTCCCCGGCGGGCTGCGGCGCCCTAAATACGCATCTCGAACCCTTTGTCTTCTTTCTTCTTCTCTTTCCTTTTCTTTCCTTTCTCCTATCCGCTGCGGCGCCCTAAATACGCATCTTGACCCCTTTCTCTCCTTTTCTTTCTCGCTCTCTCTTTTTTTCTTTCTTTCTGTCTTTCTTTCTTTCTGTCTTTCTTTCTTTCTTTCTTTCTTTTCTTTCTTTCTTTCTTTCTTTCTTTCCTTCTTTTTCTCCTCCCTCTTTTCCAACTACTTCCTGTCGTTCCTCTTCGCCCGTTTAGGGGCCTTTCTGTTTCTTTTGTTTTCTTGCTCTGTTTGTTTTCTGTTGGGGCGCGTGTCTCCCCCCTGAAAAAGAGACCTTCGCCCCTCTTGGAGGGGCGTGTGTGTGCGGAGTGGCAGAGTACCCTGCCACATTTGATTTTGATTACAACCGCGAGCAACTGGATGGCGCGGGCCAACGAAGACCCATCCAGTTTGCTGTGCAAACGTACCTGCAGAAGTGATTTAAGGTCCTTTTGGTCCCCTCCCTGAACCGCCGTTGCTTCTTTTGTGCCCCTGTTAAAGTAGCTAAAGGGAAGCCAAGTGACCTGCCAGCCGAAACTATTACTCGAAGACCCACACAGCACTTTGATGAGTACCCTCCTTCGGGAGTTCAAGTGGGGTTGTATAAAAAGGGCGCGTGTGCTACTTTAGTATTGGGCGGGTCCTTTTTTTACCAAACATGCAAACCACCCTGCAAAACGATAAGGAGTAAAAAAAACGATAACAGTTGATAAGACATGAGTCTGCACACTTGATAGAGGAGGCGCGGTTCGGGCCTCAGCACTGGGCCCAAGTCAAAGCCATGGATGCTCCGGCAGGGGCGCCGCGGGTATGCCAGGTGGGCCTGTGCGGCCATGAGATGGGGCCCGCCAAGCTTTGCAAGAAGTATGGCGCGTGGATCAGCCAGTGCTTGGATACAAGCATTAGCTTGGCCGGCCGCCAGCGGCCATCCCATCACGTGTCTGTTTGGCCACCCAGCATGCGTTTGGGATGGTTGCTGCCAAGTTGGTTTGTCTTGAATTAGGGGTGTGTCTGAAAATAGGGGCGCCCCTCCTTTTATAAATCTTGAAAGCCGCCCCGCAAAGGGCGCCCTCAAAGAAGACAGACCCACAGTGCAACTTGATACCAAGAATATATCTCATATCTATCTTGGCCATCCATTTCCAAGACACATCTTTCTCCACAAAGAGGGGTTGCAGCTAAGTACTGGAAGTAGCACGGGAAGCACATGGGTCTTTACTTCTTGCCTCAGCAAGTGCATGAAGTCGAACAGTCGAGTGCCTGCCGCTCTCTTGGCGGAGCAGACCGGTCAGCGCCTGTGACTCCTGCTGGAGCTGTTCTTGGCGGAGCGTGCCTGTGACTGCTGCTCATGAAGCTGTTCTTGGTGGAGCAGACCGTTCAGCGCCTGCTGGAGCTGTTCTTGGCGAAGCAGTGCTTGCTGGAGCTGATCTTGGCGGAGCAGACCGTTCAGTGCCCGTGACGGCTGCTGGTGGAGCTGTCTTTGGCGGAGCAGGTTCAGTGCCTGTGACTGCTGCTGGTGGCGGAGCAGACGTAGCTGTTCGTGGCGGAGCAGACCGTTCAGTGCCCGTGACTGCTGCTGGTGGAGCTGTTCTTGGCGGAGCAGACCGTTCAGTGCCTGTGACTGCTGCTGGTGGAGCTGCTCTTGGCGGAGCAGACCGTTCAGTAGCTGTTCTTGGCGGAGTGCCCGTGACTGCTGCTGGTGGAGCTGTTCTTGGCGGAGCAGATTGTTCAGTGCCTGTGACTGCTGCTGGTGGAGCTTTTGGCGGAGCAGAGCGTGAGGAGAGCGGGCTGCCCAGGAAGAGGCTTTGCACGAAGTCCCAGCACGTTGGCAGCTACTTGGGTAAGTTTGGTTTGGGGGCGCAGAGACAGAGCAATATTTGCGGCCAACTTGCTGCCGCCCAAAGCCATTTGTTGTATCGGCTGCTTGCGTTTAGGTGAGGAAGGAGCACAAGCACCGCAAAAAGATAAGTCTGTAACCCTGCGATAAGACAACAGTTTCGGCCAGTGCTAGGGGTCTTCTGTTTGCTGGGGTTTGTGTTCACTGCAGGTTGCTAGCCCTGCGATAAGACAACAGTTTCGGCCAGAGCTAGGGGTCTTCTGTTTGCTGGGGTTTGTGTTCACTGCAGGTCGCCCGGGACAGCGGTTGACAGATATCTGCAGCCATTGTCAGTGCTATTCTCAGCAGCTTGTTCCTCGTTTTCATCGAGACTGGGCAGATTCAGAAGGATTTGCAAGCTGTGTTCCCGGAATACTTCGCGCATTTTTCGTTGGACAAGGAATGTGCAGATGCCGGAGAAGAGGCAGAAGCGGCGTTGAAGTACGTGAGAGAGCACGGCAACAAGTACAGGGAGGAGCGAATTGCCAGCGGATGTGACAGGCTGCAGCTGCACACTTTCACGGAAGCACCCGCGCAGATTTTGCTGAAGGGTCATTACGCCCTGCTGCGATCTTACTTGTGGCACATGCTTACTGCGAGGCGACAGCAGGATTGTCTCAAGAGACTCCTGGGCGGCGAACTGCCAAAAGAAGATGTGGTAGTAGTCTTCGACTGGAAGGAGAAGATTTGGCTGCCCATTGGCCCAGCTGAAACCTCGGACATGTGGCAGCGGGCGTGCTGCGACTATGGAGTGATCCTCATTTTCGCTCTGCTGAGAACTTGCACCACCACCTGTTCCAGCTTTGTGTCAAGAGGAAGCAGACGGTCAACTGCTTCTTCCTAGGCGAACAGCACGGCAAGAACATGCTGGACGCTGCCTTTGGTGCAGTGAGTCGATGGCTGGATGAGCAGGCTTTGGTGACAGCGATCCACAATGTCCAGCAACTGGCAGGAGCCATCCAGCGAAGCGCAGAAGCAGCGATGAGACGTGATCCGCGGGGCCCAAGGTGGAAGTGCAAGTTGGTAGACTTTGGCCGTTACCGTCAGCAGACTTCCCAATTTGTGCGATCGACAGAATTCAAAATTACTCGGACCTATTGCTTCTTGGCAGAGCCGCCGGCCAGCGGGCGAGAGCGCCCCTGTGCTGCGGAACAGAGTCTTCAGTGACTTAGAACAGGAACGCGTGCCATCCTGCCACTACGATGTAGAAGAGGTCCAACACGAGGAAGCAGTCGAGTGGAAAAAGTCTTTCTTTGAGGGAAGCGAGACATGGGAAGAACCGCCGCCAGACATAGGCGACACGACCGTGCTGTGCAAGAGGCTGAAAGATCAAGCGCGCAAGCCGCCGAGACAAGGGCTACGGCCCATGAGAACTTTTGCAGAGCGGGCGCAGGCTCGGGCCAAGAAGACGCTGAAGGACGGCGCACGCTTAAGGCGGCGCCTTGAAGCTCTACAAGGTGAACCTCGAGAAGAAGTCCCGTCTTCCTCCAGTTCCAGCAGCAGTTCAACGGACTCAGACAGCGTTGCCAATGCGGAGTGAACAAGCGGTTAGTTGAAAGCCAACACACTGCAAAACGAAAAGGAGTAAAAAAACGATAGCACTAAAAAGGATTGAACAGTTTATCACCCCCTTTTTATACAACCCCAAGTGTGTATGTATGTATGTATGTATGTTTGTGTGTAATGTAATAATGTAATGTAATGTAATGTAGTGCAATGTAATGTATTGTAATGTAAAGTAAGAAAGTAAGTAAGTAAGTACGTATGTATGTATGTATGTATGTGAATGTATGTATGTATGTATGTATGTATGTAATGTAATGTAATGTAATGTAATGTATGTATGTAGTATGTATGGTAGTATGTATGTATGTATGTATGTATGTATGTATGTATGTATGTATGTATGTATGTATGTATGTATGTATGTGTATAATGCATGTATGTATGTATGTATTGTAATGTATGTATGTATGTATGTATGTATGTGTGTAATGTAGGTATGTATGTATGCATGCACGCATGTATGTATGTCTGTAATGTATGTATGTGAGAAATGTAATGTCATGTAATGGAATGTAATGTAATGTAGTGTATGTATGTATGTAATGTATGTATGTATGTATGTATGTATGTATGTATGTATGTATGTAATGTAATGTAATGTAATGTAATGTAATGTAATGTAATGTAATGTAATGTAATGTATGCATGTAATGTATGTCTGTAATGTATGTATGTGAGAAATGTAATGTCATGTAATGGAATGTAATGTAATGTAGTGTATGTATGTATGTAATGTATGTATGTATGTATGTATGTATGTATGTATGTATGTAATGTAATGTAATGTAATGTAATGTAATGTAATGTATGCATGTAATGTATGTCTGTAATGTATGTATGTGAGAAATGTAATGTCATGTAATGGAGTGTAATGTAATGTAGTGTATGTATGTAATGTATGTATGTATGTAATGTATGTATGTATGTATTTATGCGTGTAATGTATGTATGTAATGTATGATATGTATGATATGTACGTATGTATGCATGCATGTATGTATGTAATGTATGTATGTGTGTAATGTAAGTATGTATGTATGTAATGTAAGTAAGTATGTATGTATGTATGTAATGTGTGTATGTAATGTATGCATGTAATGTATGTATATGTATGCATGTATTCATGTATGTATGCATGTGTGTATGTATGTATGTATGTAATGTATGTAATGCATTTAATGTATGCAAGGTATGTAATGAATGCCATGTATGCAATGTATGTATGTATGTATGTATGTATGTATGTATGTATGTACGTATGTATGTATGTATGTATGTATGTAATGTATGTATGTATGTATGTATGTATGTATGTATGTATGTATGTATGTATGTATGTATGTATGTATGGTATGTATGTATGTATGTATGTATGTATGTAGGTATGTATGTATGTATGTATGTATGTATGTATGCATGTAATGTAATGTAATGTAATGTAATGTAATGTAATGTAATGTGATGTAATGTAATGTAATGTAATGTAATGTAATGTAATGTAATGTAATGTATGCATGTATGTATGTATGTATGTATGCTTGGTTTTCTTGTGCTTTGTTTGCCTGTCATTCCACTTGCACTCCCCTTGTTTTCATTTCTGTCCCTTTCATTTCAGTTTGCCTTTGTTTCCCTTTCATTTCCCGTTGCTTTCTTGTCATGTCAACTTCCTATTGCCTCCCCTCACTTCCTTGCTCCCCAGTATTTCCCCGAAACAAACACGGTTTTTTCGCAAAGACGTCCAAAAACACAGTTTTTCCAGATTTTCAGCAAAAGGAGGCAGGAAGCCCAAACCAGCAAAAGAGCCGGCAGGGGGAATCAAGCCTGGGACCCTGTTTTGCGACACCGGCTCCCTGAAGACTACGTTTAGTGGAACGTCATCAAATTGCCGCACGGTACGTGGGGGACACCCCCCCCCTAAAACCTATGTATTAGACGTCGGGCAGGGGGGGGGCCTCTAGTAAGGGGGCCCTTTGAAGGCAAACCAATCAAAAACGCTGATGGGAGGTTCGTTACCCGAATCAGAGACAGATCCATTTGTGAAGAGACCCCATCTCCTTAGATCGGTAAGGACTCCCCCAATGGCGGGCAAAGGCAATCGCAGGGTCTGAGGGAATGTAAAAGCACAACACAAGCTTCACCAGGCAAACTCGGATCCCACGTTTGAACTTTGTCGGACCCTTGAAGGTCTTCCCCTTTATGGTCCCGTGGTGTAAGGCTTTGCACGCCTTGAACAGTAAGCTTTAGTGACAGCATGCACCGTCTAAAGGGACCCAACAGAAAGCCTTTGTTTGCTCTTTGCGGGGTTTGTGTGTGTGACATCATTTCCCATGCAGGATCCATGTGAGCAGCGGCCAAAATCCCTGGTGGCTATTGGTTCCACCACTTGGCTTATTTGATGTTGTAGTAAAGTGTAAAGCCTTTCAAAGCCTTACCATAGAACCAACAAGTCAATGGGTTCTGGGTGCAGCTTGTGGGCGTGCTTTGGCTTGCCAGATCGGCCCGAGCTGTGTGTGCCCTTCATCACTGCCTTCGGGTGGCTGGCCGAATCTTCCATTCAGAAGATCTTTGCGTACAATACAGCTGCTTGGCGCTGGGGGATTCTTTTCCATTGCGTGTCTGTATCAAGGTGAGGAACTGTTTTATTTACACGCCGCGACTTGCCGCTCGGGCATGTGGACCGCTGATTCTTGTAGAGGGTACAATGGGAAGCCAGCTGCTAACCACCGAACCACTGGGCTCCAAACCATCAGTTGGGAGGCTAACTGTTGCGGTGTCTTTTTGTTAGACTCAAGAAGAGGGTACGTACCCGTGTGCTCATAGTTGTTGCCGAAGTACGGCACACGCTCTGAAATCTCGCCCCTGATTCAGCTTTTGGCTCGGACTTTGGCTTGACTTGTGGCGCCATTCGGTCTCCCCGTTTTGCGCTTTCCAAGCCTGCCTGAAGCGCCGCGGGTGTTTGTGGCGCTCGGTCACTGCTCCGAAGGCTTCGACTTCACCCATCATGAAGCCTCCTTTCTTGTGAGGGCGAATTATTTCGCTTCAGCCAGACATGTTTGCAGCATGAGCAGCGCCATACAATGCTGCCCACGACCTGGCATCAATGTTATTAGTGATATAATGACCACCATCACCATCACCATCACCATCATCATCGTCATCGTCATCGTCATCGTCATCGTCATCGTCATCAGCATCATCATCATCATCATCATCATCATCATCATCAGCATCATCCTCACCATCAGCATCATCCTCACCATCAGCATCATCCTCACCATCAGCATCATCCTCACCATCAGCATCTTGGTGCGCGCGCCACTATGATGCAGAGCGCATTCGTTTTCGATTCGGACGAGGCGATGGCCTATGGCGAGGCGAATACATGGGGCCTCTATGTGCCTAGACTGGGCCAGGGGTGGAGTTTGGGGCGGGAAGGATGGGGATCTTGCCTCAACTCGCCGCGAAGAATTCGTTGGGAAGGTCTTGTGGCATATTCGGAACTCGGCAATTCCCGCAGCCAAAATTCGCTTTCGCTGGTGCTTCAACTGTCGCGTTTTTCAACACGCCCAAAGCGGATCCAGTTTGCAGCCTGGATACCAACGGCCCTTTCGCCTCGGGTTTCCTGGTGCAAAACGGGGAGGCTGCTGACCCGGCAAATCAGGTCCACATGGCAGTGTTGAACTTCCTTTTCTTTTCTTCTTTCTGCAGATGGGCTGACATGAGTGTTTCAGAAAGTGCGAGAATTCCGGGGCTTGTGGTTTGGTTCTGGTTGCATCTGGTTCCTGAAGAAGACCCCAGCCCTTCGCCTTCTGCGCCACAAAATCGCGCGCCTCCTCCTCGGCATTGGCCACCTCGCTCATCGCCTCGCGGTTTTCGGGGGGATTCCGCGCACCGCGCTACGGGGCTTCGCGTGGCAGGGATCCATCGAGTCTGCCCTCAGATCCCCCGGAGCCACAGCCCCGCATTGT